ACGGGAAAGTAACAGTAATCTAATTACCGTTTTTGCAATAGTAATCCCTTACTTTACTTGTTACTTTAAAAAGTAATCAGATTACAGTAACGCGTTACAAATAACGCGTTACTGCCCATCTCTGATTATGAGTGCCTGCTACATTCCTAAATAATCCGTATAGTTAAAATTTGCAAATCTTTACAAAATAACGATTTATTTAGGAAAAAATGCATTAACAGAAGGTTAATGCGCTGGTAGAGCTGGTGGAAGCAGATATTGGTCGGCTGTGTTACTTAACTTACTATTAACTGCTTGATAAGTCACTAACATTTGCAAAGCAGTAATGTTAGTGACTTCTTTTCTTTAGGTTACAATATTTTTGTATCATATTTCCCCATTTCTGCATCAGTTTATTTGGATTCTGCCAATTATGGTATCAAACCTGCACATTAAAAGACAACAAGTAATAAACAATTACAAATACACACAAACCACATTAACAAATATAACCTGTCCAAAACAGGAATGTTTGTTCCTTTGATCCTTGTATTGGTGTTATTTTAAATTCAAATAAACATTAAAAAACGTGCTGTCTAACCCGATACTTACACTAGTTCATGCAGTTATTACGTCTAGTTTGGACTACTGTAATCAGGACCCATATAGACCTTAATGGGACCATATCACCCCAGTCCTGCACTTTGCTCTCAGACGGCTGGTTTACTTGTGGTTCCTAGAATATTTAAACAGGAGGCAGAGCCTTCAGTTTCCAGTCTCCTCCCAGTGGGAACAGCTCCCAGTTTGGATTCGGGAGAAGACACCCTCTTTGTGGTGGAGGGAGGGGCATCCATCATGACCAACTATAACTTCACAAACAGTGTGTTTGGATTTCAGGAGGATGTCGAACAGAATGCAGTAATTTGCAAAATATGCCGTAAAACTACTGCTGAAGATCGCAGCGCAGTGAATTTATCCTATTAGCTGCAAAATGTTTTAAACTCTGCACGTCAGCGTCTCCCCACACACGAAAGAAAACG